TTTTTAAGTTTTTTATTTAAATTTCAGATACTGATAAACAAGTAATTATTTTCATATTATGGCTCACAACCAAAAAATTTATATTAAAATTCTGTTCTACTTTGTCACAGTTAATGAAAATTAAAACATTAAAAACTAAAACACATCAGGTGAATTTAGGCATAAAAACAATGTACAGTATGAAAAAATATATATATTAATTTTAAGATTTTCTAAAAATACATTTAAACTGTTATTAAATTATTATTAATTAAGGGAATGTTTGATCATGGCAAAGACAATCTAAATGTAAAAATAGGAGAAATTAACATTAATAATTTAAATATTCAATATCAACTGATAAAAAAAATCTTTAATATTGGCTGATAACAATATGCTACTGATATACGGTATTAAGCAGATCTAAACAAATAGTACTTCCGACAAAACACTTAAAATGTCCTTTCACATGAGATGAAGACTCCCTATAATCGTGGCTGCCATGTTGAGATCAAATGACCATCTGAACACTACTTTTACTGAACATTTTTAAGCATTACTTAAGCATGATGCTGCATCCATGCCGATAGGTGTCAGTATGAAGCCCAAGACCGCTGTTGTAACTACCAGTGAAAAGTGAAATAGCAAATGACACCTTTAAACATAAACAAATAATGAATAATTAGTGTATGAGTTGTGACTTTCTCTGTGGCACCTTTAAGGAATCCTGCGTGAAGATGGCAGCTTGGATAATGCTGCAAGCTGTTTGAGGTTGGCTGAAGTAGCTCTGGCTTATGCTCGAGCAGGTTTGTCCTAAATTCGATATATCTAGCCAATTACACATAGTATGTGCATTTTTGAATAATAGATCTACAGAAGCCATCTTTCTCACATTAGGTCACACTTTTTCTCCCCCCAGGCTGCCATATTATCGCTCCTTCAGATATGATGGATGGACGAATTGCAGCCATTAAGCAAGCACTAATCGCAAATGATTTTGGCAACAAGGTTGAGAGAAATCACACTTCTGGGAGCAAACAATAGAGTTAAATCAAATAACAGCAGAGACTGACTTAATCTCTTTTTTCTTTCTTAGGTGTCAGTGCTGAGCTACAGTGCTAAATTTGCCTCCTGCTACTATGGGCCATTCAGGTAGTGTACTTCTAATGATTCCCTTTTGAGTACAATAGTGGACCTTCTTAGTAGTTTTTATAAACTTACAGGTAATGAAAACACCAGGATGAGTTTATTCTTTGTAAACCAAATTTTCTCTTTACTTTACATTTGAAGAGATGCTGCTCAATCTAAACCTGCTTTTGGAGACAGACGATGTTATCAGCTTCCCCCGGGTGCCCGAGGACTAGCACTGCGGGCCTGTGTAAGAGAATATCACTGAAACAAAATCGACAAACACCGTTTTCTTTCCAGTGTTAACACATTTCCTTTGAAACATGATCTTGTTGAAAGGTCCCTTTAAACATGTAATCTGAACTACTATAATAGTACTGATGTAGCAATCTAGGACCCTACATTTTGACTGCAGAAATGGGCACTTTTGACTAGACCTGTGGCATTTTTTCTATTGTATGGGATGCTCCAAGTGAAGTATTAGAATATATGCTTTTGATTCTTTGCTGGTAGGACCGGGATGTGAAAGAAGGTGCTGACATGCTGATGGTGAAACCTGGATTACCATACCTCGATATTGTGAGAGAGGTTAAGAATAAGGTAATAACTTTTTTGCCACTTCATCATATATTCAGATATCATTTTCTTCATGCTCAGAAAGTCTTTGTAGAAAATGCATTGTAGAAATTTAAAGTAGTGCCAAAAAGTATTTGGACACTTTGGATATTCCACCCAAAAATAAAAATACTCTCATCATTTACTCACCATCATGCCAAGATGTAGATGAACACAAACAAAGATGTCAAAAACCACACAAAGCAAACAAGACTTCCACGTCACTCGTCTCATAAAGCTTCAGTAAGCATTTGTCACACTTCACAATGTGCTGATGTTTACATCAATCATGAACTCATAAGCCTGCGTATGAACGTTGACCTTAAGCAGTGCGATTTATAGTTAAAAGTGTTAAAAATATGAGTATCGTTTTGCTTTGGAAGACTAACTGATTCATCAACTGGGGTCACATGGATTATGGTCATGTTTGTTTTGTGTGGTTTTTGAATCATCATCTTTGGAGATCCCTTATACTGATTTTTTATTTTTGGTTGTAAAATGCATTCTTAAAAATGTGTGAGTGTCTGCACTCTGCAAGTCATCTCATCTGAATCAGGAGAGATATATGCACAGATCAAGCATGTTTTAAAAGCAAAAACGGTTCTAAACAAATATGTCTGAATTTTGATGTTAGAGGACAAAAGGGGATCAACGTTTTCACTGGAGGAAGTGTTATTAGCGTATTATGGACTAATGATCCATTTTTTTGTTACAAACATGCAGCTTTTCACTTTACAAGACATCAGTTGTTGGACTGGATTTGTGACAGTTAATCAGCTATTTGGATTCTCATTTCTCTAAATCTCTTCTGATGAAGAAACAAACATATTTAAATCTTTAATGGCCTGATGGGAATACATTTTCAGCAAATTTTCATTTTTGGCTAAACTATTTCTTTAAGAATTGAAGAAATTCAATTCATTTAAAATGCCAGGAAAGTATGTTGGAGAAGATTGGAACTGAACTCTTCCGAGCAGTAGCCCTCCAAAAGCAAAGTGTTTCAAAGCACCCCAAACAATTTGCAGCAAAATCTAAACGATGTAATTCATGATTTCTCTGGGCATTATGTGTCTTTCTTATGAGGAAAATGAGGGAGTTTATCTGCCCGCATTCCTTTAGGCCATAAAACCAGTGATATCAGCATTGGTTACCATGGAACCAGAGGCCTGTTCTGCCTTTCTGAGGTGTTAGGTGCATTTCGGGGGAAGTCATAAAACCAGTGATATCATGATTAGTTGTCATGGTGACCAAGGTGGGGGATGGTGTTCAGCAGAAATCCTGGCATCCAGTTTATTGAGTGAGGGGACTGTGACGATTTGTTAATCTAATGAATAATTGATTTGTTAAATCAAATAAAAATTAGTGTGTCAGATTGGTCGAGACGCTACAAGTGAGTCTAATGTTTCTGCTACTCTTAATATCTTTGTATTCTCTGATTCCCATCAGCACCCTACTCATCCGCTGGCAGTGTACAATGTATCAGGCGAGTTTGCCATGTTGTGGCATGGAGCTGAAGCTGGAGCTTTTGACCTGCGCACTGCAGTTATGGAGGCTATGACTGCCTTCCGTCGAGCAGGTGAGAAGGAGGACATGGAAGATAAAGTACATTTTTGTTCATCTGTTGAGGCCATGTTTTCCTAAATTGTATAAATATAAAGATTGTAGTGCTTTTGGGCAAGACCTTGGTGTCTTTTACATCTTCTTTTTTAATGCCTCAAAAATTGATGATATTTCATCACACTATTTTCTTTCTTTCAGGAGCTGACATCATTATCACCTATTACACTCCACAATTGCTCACATGGTTAACAGAGTAATTGGATAAAAGCAAATGTACTGTCTCACCCAGAGAGTGAAAATGGAATTAGAAATAAATCCAAGCAGATATTACTACAAAAATCAACAACTTTTTTTCCAGGATTTTTTTATTTGATTTATATATTTAGTTATAAACTAAATATTCAATCAACTTTAGTTTTTCTAGTTCTTAAATTTGGGCAAGCTTTAGTTTTTTTTTACAGATGTTAAATTGGTCATTTATTTCCTAAATGTGTTTGAGTACATCACAGATTTGTTGTCATTTTAATGTGCATCTATAACACTGAAGATAGACCTTAGGTTTGTAATTACAGCTGTTTCGTTTTCAAATTAATTAACATTTGACAGCGTGTTCCAGTTCCTGCCAATATCCAGCAACTTCGCACAGCCATTGAAGAGGAGTGGACCAACATTCCACAGGCCACAATCAACAACCCTATGCGCAGGAGATGTGTTGCACTGCGTGAGGCAAATGGTGGTCCCACCAGATACTGACTGGTTTTCGAACCCCCCAATACAGTAAAACTGCACATTTTAGAGTGGCCTTTTATTGTGGCCAGCCTAAGGCACACCTGTGCAATAATCATGCGGTCTAATCAGCATCTTGATATGCCACACCTGTGAGGTGGATGGATTGTCTCTACACAGGAGAAGTGCTCACTAACACAGATTTAGACAGATTTGTGAACAATATTTGAGAGAAATAGGCCTTTTGTGTACATAGAAAAAGTCTTAGATCTTTGAGTTCAGCTCATGAAAAATGGGGGCAAAAACAAAAGTGTTGCGTTTATAATTTTGTTCAGTATATGTTCTGTTGGCATCTCTATTTTAAGATTTACATGTAGTGCATCTGCAAAATGTTTGTTTATAACCAAAAAGATGGGAATAAAGCTAGAGTCATGGTAAACATTATTTGTTTATTATAGGTTCATGTGGGAACATTGTTTGTATGTCTCTTATTGACCACTCAGCTTTGTATTATGCTTTTTGTACTGAACAGGTGTCAGAAATGCCCGTCCCCTACATAGAGTTTACAGGCAATTCATCATTGATGTCAGTATATGATCAAGCGTAAGCGTTAGTTCTGGCAGGTCATGTTAATCAAGCTCGCATCAGCTGATCCCCATCTACCTGTAGGAATACGACACCTATCTAAGCATTCATATATAAGGTCCCTCAGTATTATCAGCAGTTTTCGCATTGCTCAATAGCTAATTACCCTCCTCCATCCCCAACTCCTCCTTTGTCAGTCAGGATTCAGCCTTCTGATTCTCCTTTGAATCAGACAAATTCTAAATGTGTACATTAAATTTTTGAACTTTAATGATATCTGCAATGCAATTATGTTGGTTCTGTTCTGTTTACCCTGGGGGGGGGGGTATCCTGCTCTCCCTGCTCTTATCCATGCTAGGTTGCATGGATGCGCAGGGAGTTCTTGCCCAGAACAGAACCATACCGCCAATCCAAACTAAATTGTCAGTCATCTTTGACGATAGTGGTCCTGACAGAACAAGCGTTTTAATTCCTAACAGAGTTTTAAAAAGTGCTGCTTATATAGGAACCACACTGAGTGAGGAAGGGTGACTTGGCAGAGGTGCCCTCGAAACTGACCAAACTTGCTGTCCTGCAGAAGAAAGAAGAATTTAAAAGTACCTAAAATCTTATCTGAATCCCTTTTAACTATTTTTAAAGTAATGTCCATATATTACTTACTGCTAGCATGTCACCCTGTGTTTGTGGCTCTTTTTGAGGATGTAATACATGAAGCTAACCTCTCAGCCAGACAAGAAAGCCCTGAGAGCACATAAATAATACTTCACATTGCGAAACACTTGAGCAACTGTGTGCTCGTACTAGCACTACTACATCTACATTTAATAGAGAAAGAAACACGGATAGAACTGTTGCATTAAAGTAAGAGTTCTAGATCTTTTAATCCTGACTACACTAAATAAATAAATAAACAAAAACTCGGTATGCACTGGTTTCCTGTTGGAATATTTTGGATGCAATCTTAAAAGGATATTATACAATCTAAAGGACGATACAATAAGTTATAGTGAGGTTCATTTAATAGAGAAAGAAACACGGATAGAACTGTTGCATTAAAGTAAGAGTTCTAGATCTTTTAATCCTGACTACACTAAATAAATAAACAAAAACTCGGTATGCACTGGTTTCCTGTTGGAATATTTTGGATGCAATCTTAAAAGGATATTATACAATCTAAAGGACGATACAATAAGTTATAGTGAGGTTTATATATATATATATATATATATCTGACATCTATTAGGACTTAAACAACCAAAAAGAATTACTGGGCTTAGGGCTTTTTTCCATTACCTTACAGATCCTGTTCATGTAAAGTGATATGACCAGTGTCAGTTTTCTTATCCATGTATGTTCTGACTGAGACATTAACATAAACGTTTAAATCAAAATCCAATAAAATTCTTAGTAGTTTGTTTACATATTCATTAAAGGCACACCTTAATTAGCATGCGTACATAATTTAATTCAAAATCAAAATTCTGTATTTAATAATTAAGCAGAAAAATAATTACACAGCTAAAGAGCTCATTTTAGGGTTAAACTTACCTCTCATAATCAGTCATAGTAACATAGCTGACTCGGTCTCATCCAAATGGATCCTCTAATAATCTACTGTACCTGAGACAGCCTACAAAACACCAGACGTAAACATCTTCTGTGATCGACTATGTTGACCTGGGCTATTCCAGCACGTATCGCATCGACGTTCGATTCATTTGGACTAGGGATTGTGCTACTGCTAGTCGTTTAAGCGGAGCTGAAACAAATCGAGCATGATATATTTTCCTTAGCTATAAACTTGCTACGTATTCCACAGGTTGTTGCCTTTGGCAGGTAATGTATAATTTAGTGAAACATTTATCTGAAATATACTTTAGCAAAGCTTCCCCATATTTGTTTATCCTGGGCTTTGGTAATGAGCTTAGCTTATGCTATTAGCTGCTTTAGCTACTAACAAAAAAATAACTGCTAGAAAATAGCATTTAATATATCTTATTTTACAAATCAGCTCTGATTTGGGCGTTCTAGGTTAGTCATAAAAATAATGATGATAAATAAGACCACATTGGTTTGTTTGGTAACCCCGAATTTCTGTATAACCGCATGCCTACAAAACAATTACAGAGTTATTTATTTATACCTAAGTTACATTTCATGATCAAACTTAACATTTGGATATTTAGTTTGATGTCTAAATTGACTAAATTATAAGTTTGAGCTTTAGTATGAATGCTGTTTTTTTCCCCCCTTAAAAATACTGACAAAACATTATAGATTTATGCCATCATATCAGCTATCTAAGGGTATGCACACCATGCTCATTTATTTTTATGTGTAAAGAAAGTATGCTGTATGTGCTGACAGCTCTTAGATTAATTGATTCAGATCAGTAAAAATCAATATACAGATTCCAAAGTGATGGCTTAAGATATTTTGTAAATATGATACTTTTCTAGTTTCCATTTACACTTTTTACATTTACTTTAAAAAATAAAATAAAAAAACTCTAAAAATAAACATCTGGGTGGAGAAGGAGAGATTGTATTACTCATAATTTACAGCTGTCAGATCTTAAATTAGAATAGAGAAATGAGAGGGGTGAGCCACGCTTTTTACCCACTATAGTGGATGGACTTACAGGTAGGCCATTCTCGAAAGATAGGCTTCCAAAGTCAACCATTAAATGCCACCATTTGGTGGATTTATTTTTAAATATTCACCTAAAACAACATTGTACTGCTGTCTTCAGTAGGAAACAATAGTGATCAATAGGTAAAGTAACTTGTTTAATAAATTGTTTAATTAGTAAACGTTTTTATGTAACAGACAATCTTTCACAAGTGAGAAAAATGCACTAGCATTTATTGCTAACACCTAAAATACTGTTAGACATAACCCAAAACAAATATGTACATTTGTGACTATTTAGATGTATTCATCAGGTCACTTGTGTTGGTAGTATTTTAGTAATTAGTCGTTTTCAGTTGCAAATGCAACCGCTGTATTGGTATTGTTATTTAACTTGGTTTAACCATGATGACCATCTTTGTGTCATGGTGCACAATAAATTTGGGTTAAACAGTTCTTCATGAAAACATCAGTATCTCATCTCACAACTCCTAGCTCCTAGCTCATTGATCTCTATAGGAAACGTGGACATATATAAACATTTTGAGCATTCTTGTTTCTTAGAACAACAGTCCAAATGTAATGATCAAGATTGCTCACAGCTCCACTGGGAAGGGTTCAGATTTGTCCAAAATAATAGTTAAACATAATTGCATTTCAATTATTTTAAGTAAACTATGCAAATCCTGCATTATGTTTTTAATTGTTGTAGCCTAATGATTATGTAGTTATGTAAGAAACTGCTTCTGTATAAGGCATGTTCACTCTTGTAGTTCGGTAAGGCATGTTCACTCTTGTAGTTCGGGTTCGTTTTGCATTCATACTTACATTTTTTTAAACTGACAGAACCGAAAGATACAAAACAAAAGGCATAAGGATAAGGCCACAGCCTGATTGGACAGCTTTGATGACATATCTTGTGACAGAACTTACCAAACATCCAAAACCATGCTGAGTGCTACTGGGATAATTTGCTTATTGTATGTGTACATAAGGCAGCATTTTTACCAGGAATTCCTCTGATGCACACACAAAAATCTGCTGCAAGGAGACGGCATTTCTGACACCTGTATTGAAATGTAACACATTTTTGTTAATTTAGACTTCTTTAGTCTGTTACTTTCATATTTCAGTCGAACTGCACCAGTGTTCATTTCGAAGTGGACTGAGACCGATTGTGGGCCTTGATCCATTTATTTGGTGAATGAACCGCACTTACAGAGCAATCACACCAGAGTACGTTTCAACCAAACCAAACCTGCCAAGTGTAAACAAACCCTCAGTTATTTATTCTCTTAAAAAAACGAATTCTAAACATTTGCCAAACTAAGTGAATAAGACAAGATGTCTCGACCTGTGTTTCCCAACCGGGGTGCCGTGTAAAAAAATAAATTTTTAAATTGCTAAAATGTTCAAAAAAATCATCTATTATATAATATCCATTTCTGATGTCGCCAATAATTAGAGATGCACCGAAATTTCGGCTGCCGAAAATTAGTTCACCGCTCAGGTTTCACTTTCACGTGGTGTGACACACTGCGTATTATCCCACTCTATGCGTGTGCACTCCGCTCGTATACCGTTCATGCTAATTGGAACAGCAAAGTCCACTCAGAAATTGAGCCGACAGGAAACATTGATGTAGTACAGTATTGTTTCTGTCTGCAATAGCCCTGCTGTGTTGTAACATGGTGTGGTATATGGACAACTCTGGTAACGCTGCCCTCTCATTCATTGATCTGCTAACCACTATATTATGCTCCCGTGTTCTGATAATAACATCTTTCTAGGACTAAACATTATTTGGATAATTGGTAAAAAAAACAAATGTTAAATATCTTAACCCTACTGTTAGACCTACCTGGAAAACTAAAAAGCAATTTATTTAATTTGAAGGCCTGTTGTTATTTTTCATTTGTGCTATCATTATTAATTTCTTTATTTGTTCTTATTTTATTACTGACTGCTTACTTGTCATTTTTTATTCAATTCAAAGTTTGAAATCAAGCTATCTCGTGCTACTGCACCAAAATTTTACTGCACTGTAAAATTAAAAACAACACAGAGTGAGCAATAATGTGTGAGATAGCTAGTTATAATGGTAATTAAATAATGTTTACATGTGTATAAAAGCCTACATTAAAATCTGTCATATAAATTGGTCTCTTCATTAGAAATTAGCCTACTGATTGCCACCATTGATGGACACAATTTTTTTATAATATTAAAAATATCTGTATGACATTATATTCTGCAGTTCTTCCCTGTTGTACCGAATATCTATACTTTTCAAATTATCATATCGAAGTTAGAAATTCAAATATTGTGACAAAATTAATTCTGTAGGGTGCCACAAGTTTGTTAAAATTTCCAAAGGGTGCCGTGACTAAAAAAAAGGTTGGGAAACACTGGTCTAGAGGCATGTGTCCAGGAAACACTTGAATCTGCAAAAGCCAGTTTGGCAGGATCAGAGGATTTAAACATTTGTTTTTATCTAAGATATCTAGTTTTCATAAAGCACAAACAGGCTTATGCAGTGCATTGTTGCTGTGGTATATATTTTTTTTATAGTGCCTTTCCAAAACCCAAGGTTGCATTACAAAAGTTAGAAAAAAAATTGACACATAACAAAGTACAATTCACAGACCAAATCTTAAAAAAATTAAGCACAAACAGGCTTATGCAGTGCATTGTTGCTGTGGTATATATTTTTTTATAGTGCCTTTCCAAAACCCAAGGTTGCATTACAAAAGTTAGAAAAAAAATTGACACATAACAAAGTACAATTCACAGACCAAATCTTAAAAAAATGTAAAACCAGGTGAGAGAGTAAATTAAGTTCACAGTGCTTAATTGATGTTTGCCAGGTTTCTGTGAGCAACAGCACAGTTATCATCAGAGAAAAGGTCCCGGAGAAACGTTCTTTTACAAATTAATAAATTAATGTTAAAGGGACAGTTCACCCAAAAATGAAAATTTGATGTTTATCTGCTTACTCCCAGGTCATCCAAGATGTAGGTGACTTTGTTTCTTCAGTAGAACACAAACTGAGATTTTTAACTCAAACCGTTGCAATCTGTCAGTCCTATAATGGAAGTGACTGGGAATCACGGCTTTGAGAGTCATAAAACATACACAAACAAAACCAAATTAAACCCTGTGGCTCGTGATGATACATTAATGTGAAAAGACACAAAACGATCGGTCTGTGCAAGAAACTGAACAGTATTTATATTGTTTTTTACCTCTGATTTTCACTGCAATGTCTGAACTGTCCTGAGCGCCTTCGCGTCGTCGTCTTCAGCCTTCGCGTGAGGCGTCCGTCTTCTTGCTTTACGGCGGATCGCAGACATATAAGTGCATTACCGCCACCTATCTCTCAAATGGACCATTGAC